GAGCGCTCGCCCGTCGAGGAGTCAGACGACGACGTGCAGCACGACGCGGAGCACGCGGCCGGCGACGGGGCCCCGCCCTCCTTCCACAACAAACTGAAACACTACAAAGTGTTTGAGGGCATGCCCGTCACCTTCAGCTGCAAAGTGCACGGAGACCCCAAACCAAAGGTGAGCGCAGGTCTTTCGGACATTGGGGGGGGGGAAGGAAATCTCGGCCGACTTCAACTGGATGTTCGCTTTGCGAATTGAAGCGCAGCTCCTCGTGCCAAATCTTTGTCTTTATTTAACGTTCGTGATGTGTCGCAGGTGTACTGGTTCAAAGATGGCAAGCAGATCTCCAAGCGCAGCGAGCACTACCGCATCGGCCGCGCCGCCGACGGCACGTGCACGCTGCACACGGCCGCCGCCTCCCTGGACGACGACGGCAACTACACCATCATGGCGGGAAACCCCGAGGTGGGAGGGCACAAAACACACTTGTTCCGCCTTGTACTTTCCCCACATTATTGATGTTGTACTTTCCTAAAAAGAAGAGAAACCACTGACAATGCACTTTCCTAAACGGAGAACAGAATATTGATGTTGCGCTCGCCTGAAAAAGGGAAAGAAAAATAGTCAAACAAAATTGTCCAGAGGTATGAAAGTGAGTGTGAATGCTCTTTTTTCCCCATTCCCGTAATTGAAAGTGCTTGTGTAGCAGCCAACCAGGAACTAACACAAAGGCTTTTTTCGCTGGTTGGTCCATTGCTTTTTAGCACTCTGAAATCACTCCGCCAGCCCCTCCTTTTCTTATTGGATTTGCCTTCTGATGTCACCGCGACGCGTTCAACTTGCGGAAAAGCGCCCCCCTTACACGGCCTTCTGTTCTCGCGCCGTCGTAGCACAAGCCCCGGAATGGTTTTGTTGATGGCACGCTGGATGATGCTAAGCGCAGTGTGAAAAGTCTTTCTTACCCCTCCTCCAAATTCCCTATAATGCACTTTATAGTTTGCGATATCTAGCATCTGCTTGAGGCTGCTTAACCTCAATCAAATGAGGTTACATTCTGTTCTAAAGTGTCTTGTAATAACTTGAAACGTGTTGCGTGTGTGTGTGCTGGGGGATGGGGGAGGAGTCTAAGTGGTTGTTTGTTTGGTGGCGCCCCTCCGTTGACTGTTGCTTGTATCCCACGCAGGGTCGGGTGAGCTGCACGGGCAGGATGATGGTGCAAGCCGTCAACCAGCGAGGTCGCAGCCAGCGCTCGGCGCCGGGACACATGCGCAGGTGAGAGACAACATTACACACACACACGTGTTTGGGCCTGCAGCGGCTTGCATCACACTTCTTTTGTGGAGCTCTTGTGCTAATGAGAGGGCAGAGTTGTTTTGCTTTCCTCTCCCTTGACTAAAGTGGTTGTTGACAGCTTGATGATAATGATGATGAAGAAATGTCATTAAAATGTGAAAGAAGTTGACTGAGTAATACTACTAACATCACAGTAAAATGTTCACAAAATAAAATTCGATCATCAAGTCATCGTTCATTTCTTGAATCTTTTTTTTTTTCCATCTCCCTCCAGGCCGAGGTCGCGGTCCCGAGACAGTGGCGACGAGAACGACAACATCCAGGAGCGCCACTTCCGCCCGCACTTCCTGCAGGCGCCCGGCGACCTCATTGTGCAGGAGGGACGACTTTGTCGCATGGACTGCAAGGTGGCACCCCGCCAGACTTCGTCCCCCACAACTACCCCTCCCCAAAAAATTTAAAAAAAAAAAAAAAAAAAGCAATTAAAGAAAAAATCAAAATTAACAGATAAATAAATGCAGCTCTAATTTCCACAAACACAACGCATCTTTCCAATTAGTCCAGATTTTTTTTTTTCCATCTCCCTCCAGGCCGAGGTCGCGGTCCCGAGACAGTGGCGACGAGAACGACAACATCCAGGAGCGCCACTTCCGCCCGCACTTCCTGCAGGCGCCCGGCGACCTCATTGTGCAGGAGGGACGACTTTGTCGCATGGACTGCAAGGTGGCACCCCGCCACACTTCCTCCGCGAAAATATTTTCAAAAAAAAAAAGCAGTTAAAGAAAAAAATCAAAATTAACAGATAAATAAATGCAGCCCTAATTTCCACAAACACAAGGCATCTTTCCAATTAGTCCAGCTTTCCATGTGAAAAAGATTAAATGGATGAAAATTGGATTTTTTTTCAAAAAAGTGTAAACATTTCTCTGAATTAAAAAGTACGTTATCCAAATAATATAAAAAAACGCTTGTGTTGTATCTCGTTTGAGTCTGAACTCAACTGCGTCTCACGACACTGGGACCATCTTCATTGTTTTTCCCATTTGTTGTTTTTCTTTTTTGTGTTCCACTCGCGTGTCGTCTCCCAGTCTCGCCTTTTCAGGAATTCTTTTCGCAAATGTCAAAAGGTAATAAAACACAACATCTTCCCGCTGTGACTCGAGCCCAGCGTCTGAATGCCAGCGCTATTTATAGCACACTTTTATTTACTTGCAAGCCGCATCGAGGCCGCTAAAACTTTCCAAAGAAAATTCCAGATGGAAGAAACTCAGCCAAAGCCACGCACACGCGCACACACACGCGTGCGTGCGCAGGCACGCGCTTGCGCACACAACTCTCACTTGATCACAAATATTTAAGACGATTGTTCACCTCTCGAGTTGCGTGCCTTAAATGTAGTACCATATTGTGCCACAACATATTGGGCAGCACTGAGCTGTACTTGAAGAGATGTGGTGTAATTTATGAGCAAGAACAAGAAGCAGCGACGCTGCCATAATGACCGTTGTTCAGTCAGCAACACTTTCGCTTTTATTTGGTTTTGACTTGCACATCATTTACTAGTTTGTTTTTCTACTTGGAGAATGCTTAATGTTTGTCAATGTTTTCATTTAGTTTGTATTTCTTTGGAGGTTTTGTGCTAATTTGTGAGGTACGAAATGAACAAAAAGAGTCTTGCAGTTTTAATACGAAAAACCGTGGCAAGATTTCTGCAAACAAAAATTACCCAAAACTGAATCACACGAAAACTGAGATGTATTCCCTTGTAGGAGGTATGCAAAAGGGTCTTGTAGGATTTAAATGCTGGTACACTACATCGCTGCACACTCAAAAGTGGTCTCTTAATTGCAGGTAAGCGGCCTGCCCACTCCGGACCTGCTGTGGCAGCTCAACGGTCAGACCATCCGGCCCGACTCGGCCCACAAGATGCTGGTGCGCGAGAATGGCGTTCACTCGCTGGTCATTGAGCCCGTGGGCGCCCGCGATGCCGGAGTCTACACGTGCATCGCCAGCAACCGCGCCGGGCAGAACTCCTTCAACCTGGAACTCATCGTCGCAGGTAAACGGACGCGTGAAAATGGGCTTACGTGTGTTTTATATTTTGTCGATTTGTCATTTTTTATTGGATTGAATAGGATTTCACATTCATAATCTTTTGCAAAAAAGATAAAATAGCCTGAGCTTCAATATTTCCTGTTTTCAAACTTCATGTTATCAAGTTGACAGATCAAACTAAATAGTGTGCTACCATCTAGTGGCCAACTGCGGAACTACACGTAAAATACTAAACGGGAGGCAGAGCAAAATATTTTAATGTTAAATGTGATTAATTTTTTTTGTCCCCAATTCAGCCAAAGAGCTGCACAAAGCTCCATCATTCACAGAGAAGCTCCAGAACACGAGCGTGGCCGAGGGGCACCCCGTGCGTCTGGAATGCCGCGTCAGTGGCGTCCCATACCCGCAGATTTTCTGGAAACGCGAGAATGAGTCGCTCACGCACAACACGGACAGAATTAGGTGGGCTGACACTGTGGAAAAATGCTTATTTCTTTAATGCTGCTCTCCTGACTCTTTATCTTTTTTTGGCCCAGCATGCACCAGGACAACTGCGGCTACCTGTGCATGATCATCCAGCCAGTCGCTCACGCACAACACGGACAGAATTAGGTGGGTTGACACTGTGGAAAGGTGATTATTATTTCTTTAATGCTGCTCTCCTGACTCTTATCTTTTCTCTGCGTCTGTGGTGGCGGGCTTGTTCGTGGATGGGCGTGGCCAGGCCAGTGGCAGCACCCGACGAGCGCGCGGAAGACCAAGTCGCTGCGTCCGTCCAGCAGCCGCTACGCCGCCTTGACAGAGCGCGGCCTGGACGTCAAAGCGGCCTTCTTCCCTGACAGTAGCCCTCTGCCGCCAGGATCCCTCGTGGAGAGCGATGACCTGTAGGGGGCGCCACTCCGGCCTTCTTCACACCTTCCTGCTTCTTCTTCTTCCTGTTTTTTTTTTTTTTTTTAAGTGACGAGCAAGTGCAAGATGGAAAAGGCGAGTGAGCAAGCAAACGAGGCCGGGCCTTCAAGGATCAGTACAAGGAAGTTGTGTGTCGGTTTTGGTTGTGGCAAGACGGACGGTTGTTGTTTCAGTTTGACGTGAACACTTTTCAGTGTCACAAATTGTCCAGTTTATTTTTGTATTTAAAAAAAAAAGACAATTTCCATAGCCAACATTTTAAATTATGTCATCAGTCTATATCACAACAACACTTTTTTTTTTTTTTTTGCATGTGATCTTGGGACACTCGCGTGTGTGTGTGCACCGTGCCAAAACATTTACCATCTTTCCTGTCATAAGCACATTATGATTAGTAGTTATTAATCCATCATCAAGCGTGTGTGTTTTTCATGCCAAGCCATGCCTGTATATGGATTTATCTCCACCGCTGATGTTTTATTAGTTCATGAACCTTGCAAATAAAGATTCTTACATCTCTCTTGTTGTAGAGAACACACACACACACACACAAACACACACACACACACAATATAAATCATACTGAAAAGGTTGTATCAGTGTATTAACAAAAATCAAGTGCTCTAAAATATTTTTACCAGAGATTTAACTTTTGTCTTATCACACAAAAATAAGTTTCGATTTTTCAAGAAAAAAAAAATCTTGCAAATATTTTTTTTTGTAATTTCACAGTGAAAACAATTCAACTCATGTCAGTTGTAATTTTAAAATGCCCCCAAGTGGAAATGCACTTGCACCTCCGGTACAGTAGGTGGCGGTGTGCGCTCTATTATCTGCCACTCGGTGACGCCATTGAGTCCATGTGTAAGTAGTAAAGAAAAAAATATGACGAGAGAAAGAAAGTCAAAGAAAATCAATAGTACAATTGTGACGAGCGTCGCTTGGAGGTTGGTTGTTAGCATAAAGTGCTTTTGCTTGAGGTACGTAAATGTTGTCGGCGCAGGAAGTGCACGCTGCTTGTTTTCGACGCGAGCGTCTACTTGCCTCATGCGACGTTGCCCTGAAATGTGGCGGCCAGTACGAACTTGCTCCTCCTGGCTTGCGTGGGACTATTCATTGTGGCTACTGTGGGCGCCGTGGCTCCGAGGAGGCTTTTGTATCGCTGGGCCTCACGGCGGTAGCGATCGCGTTCCTCCTCCAGGCTCGTGATGACGTCTGCCAGGCAGCGCCTTGGCCCGCCGCCGCCGCCGCCGATGGTGGCCCGCGGCAAATCCAAGCCCAGCACCAGATCTCGATCTGAACATCACAGACAGCCTGTCAGTTGACAAGTTGACATGACAGCATGCACTACTTGAGGTTTGAACATTTTGACATTTTAAACTTTTTACATTTAAATTAAATTCATTCCATTTTAATTAAATGATCCATCCATTTATTTTTTTCGAACCACTTATGCTCAGTTACTAAAAATGACATTTTTAAAGATGACAATCATGGTGATGGAGCCTTTGCTACGACGACGATGTCACTAACGATAAAAACAGCGAGAATTCTAACGAAAACTGTATTGATGAGGAAAATTATAACAACAAAAATGCAAATATTAACAACACAATTTATAATAATAATCCATGCATCCATTTTCCGAACCGTTTATCCTCAGAATCATAATAATGATAACGACGCTGATGTAAAGCTTTACCGTCGGCCATCATCTTGTCCACTTTGTCCTGCAGCGCGCTCTTCTCGGCCTCCAAGAAGGCAACCAGTCCCTCCAGTTTGTCATTGCGTCCTCTCGCCTCCGCCAGCTGCTCCCGAAGACGACTTTGCTCGCAAAGCTCCTGACGATGCAACACAGCACAGGAAGAAAAGAAAGCAGATTGTGTTCACTCCCACACCGGCGCAAACGGGCATTTGTACCTGCGCCCATCTACGAAATCACCAAAACTAACTCCATCCACGCGCATTGTGAGACAGCACGGAAATAGGGCTAGTACTGCTCCAGAGAGGCTCCTAATCTTCCAGTCAGGAGGTTTCTCAACAAATATTCAACCTTTGATCGTACCAAGTGTGAGTATAATTCCTCTCAAGTCATAAAAAAGCAGGCAGACATATGGTTTGTCTTTTTTAGGACAATCTCGAGTCTTCTATGAACATAGCATGCAGGTTTTTGGAATTTGTGAGGAGACGTTCAAACTCCACAAATGAAGGCCGGAGCTGAGATTTGAACCCGGAACCATAGTGTTCAAACCACTTGTGCACAGCGCCGCCCAGACAGCAAAACAAATGTTACAAAGAAGACGTACCGCTTTTATATGGCGAAGGTTCTCCTCCAAGTTTTGAATGACTTCCTGTTGACCCAGGATGACCTCCTTGGAGGCGGACAGCTTCCTGTAGGCCATGCTGAGCACGCGCTCCTTCACTGCCACCATCTGAGCCACGGCGCCGTCCTCGTTGCGGGAGGCCAGCTCGGCCGCCTCATCGCTGCGCGCCCGCCGCAGCTCCTCCAGTGTCCGCTCCAGCGTCCGCTCCAGCGCCCGATTGGCCTCCTGCGCCTCCGCCAACTGTGTCGCCCGCACGGTTTTAGAGACGTCGCCGTGACGGCACCCCCCCCCTCTTCCTGAAGTGCGACTAGCCTACTGGTGATCAACATGACACGTTATGGAAAAGCATTTTTTAAACACTGTTCATCTATGTGCAAAATCTGACAAAAATGGATAAAGTTTGACAAAAAAAACAATGACAAAATGTGGATTAAAATTGAGCAAAAAATAAATAAGACCAAATCTCATACAAAGAACAGGCAAAGAAACAAGCATAAAGATGACACAAAAAGTTGACAAAAACAGCTAAGGGAAAAAAAAGGCATAATCTGTCAAAAAACGACAACATGACAAAATGTAGACAAAGTATGGAATAACCAACAACCCTGAAAAAAAATCTGACAAAATTCCTGAGAATGACCTCATATTTTTTAGTGAAACAACAAACCTCCTATATGAATCTTCATCAGCATAGGGAGGCGGTCCTTCGTCATCAGTCTGTGTCGAGTGGTGGAACAAAGCAACGCCGATCTTTTTCCTCCCTGAGACTACATCACAATTATGGAAATCATATTATGCAAACGATACAGAACACACGCCTGTGACTATTGTTATATTGCTTGTCCAAATGTGTTGCTTCACCGTACGTGTTCAAACTATCTGTGAAACACTACAACTTGGATGCTAGTTTTATTAGCCAGTCTATGGTATTTTGTATTGTGTGTTAGCATTTAGCTATCCTTACGAATGTATGTGGTTTGGTTCAGCACACGATCTGCGAAGCTGCTACTTGCTGTGACGTTCGCTGCCATCAACCAGCGCTTGTCACTCAAATTGTTGCCTCGTTACTCCAAAAAGCTTGCCCGTTGGGGCACTCTTAAGTCTGGGCACCACACTTTTTTTTTTTTGTAGTTCATCATAACACATTTTTGAGAAACCAAGCTAACACGAGGTTTTGCAGATTTTGTTTCTGATGCCAGCTGGTAACATCTGACCTGTACTGAGGAAATGATCGCCAGAGTCCATCTGACGGGGCAGCACGGTCATGTATGGTGGCTCGGGCGAGACGTCTGCATGACATTGTCGCTTGGGTTTCCCCGCTGACAGCTTAGCATCGCGAAGGCTGACCGTGGTGTGCACCAGATCGCTGCAAGACAAACAGGAAGTCAAGAGATGGCAGGATAATTTTACACTCCTGTTGAAATGCTTACATCTTTTCAAAAGGAAAGTTAAAAAAAAATAATGGAAAATGAGATTAAGTGGTTGCATAAGTGTACACACCCTCTTATTATCACATTCAAAACTCTTAAGTTAGCTGCCACCATTTGGAATGCTTCTGATTAATCCTAAATAAAAGTCAGATGGAATTGATTACTAGAACATCGGAACTTTATTTAGGGTGAATCTGAATCACTTTATGGTTGTTTATTTAGGGTCACTATAGTTGTTTTTAGTGGGCGGGGCGTTATGATCCCTTAAAATTGGAATCTTCTATTTTTGTGGAAAATTCCAAGATTTGCGTTGACGGTGAGAACGCAATGAGACGATGAAGACCGACAAGCATTTTACCTGAAGAGTTTAGCAACCAGCGGCACTGAGTCCATCCCAAAATGGAGTCGGTAGCCCAGTTGGTCCAGCCGCTTCCTGAGGTGGTTTCTGGTCATGTCTACGCTGCTGTCCATGGTTGTGATCCAAAAACCAACCCACTATCGAAAACCACTTCCTAATTCGGCCTGTTTTTGAAGCGGTCCTGGAAAACGGTGACCAGAGGATGTCACTCGCATAGACACACACACATAGGCGCAGAGTCGCGCTTCTTTATGACCAACATCAAAGCTTCAAACGCTGAAGTCATCGTTTCACTTTTATTAATTGTTTACTATTTGTCCAAAGTCCCGCTTACTGTGGAGAACCAATCATGTCTCAAAGCACCACTTGTCTTCGTCATCCCCCTGGTGCGCTGAACTTTCTTTCTCGCTAACGAATCCGCTTCTTTGTGCCTTTCCCCTGCCGGTGGTGCGCCTTCACTTTTAGCGGTTAGTTTTCGGCAGTGTTGAGGCGCAGTGTTGAGGCTGGGGACGCTGATGCCAAGAGAGGACCGGTGTCATCACTGTTCACCAAAAAAAAAGATGATATCTGTACCAAATAAATAAACAAACAAACAGCCACGAACAAGTTGGAAGGACCTAACAAGGAAAGTGTGTGTTTGTGTGTGTGTGTGTGTGTGTGCGCAGTAAAACTGAGCTCCATGACGGTCACTCCGTCAGCGTTCTCCCAGCTCAGGAGAACCGCATCGTAAACAAGACCACAGATGACGTGTGCAAGCACAATCATGGAAACCATTGACTTTTATTGTTCAACAGCCTCTTAAAAACGTGCGATTCCCTCCAATGTTTATGAATTTCACAATCGGTCACACAAATGGTTGATTTCAATTTCAGAGAGTGGAACTAAAGGACCCCCCCCCCCGCCCCTCCCCCAAAACAACAAAAACAACCACAAAAATGTAATCAAGTACTGAGCAGGAGAGTTGTTAAGTTTGTCTTGGGCTCTTCAAAATGAACCGAATAATATTGACTCGATTCTGGATCTGAATGAGTACAGCAAACAGAATTATGCAAAGGAGCATTAAGGCCACAACAACAACAGTGAAATGACAAAGGAGGTTGGAATTTTTTTAATGAACAAAAAAAATATAGATATTTATTAAATATTCTGAACATAGGTGCCTTTTTCCCAAGTTGTAATATCGTGCACATCGTCGTTTCCAGTTAAAAAAAAAAAAAGAAAACTTAAGTTTCACAAAGGGCATTCCAAAATGTGCAAAAAGTGTTTTGTCATGTAAATAGTCAATTTAAGAGAAAATCTTGTCATGTTATCAAGAAAAATGACGTTGCAGCCCCAAATTAAAAAAAAAAAATTCTTGTAATATAATGATTTTCATGTTGTAAATTGGTTTGTTGATTGATTTGATTGAGTTGATTTTGTTGTCCTATTGGGGGCTATTTTCATGACACCAATGAATGCAGGGAAAAATAGGATGCAACCAATGACATATTCAGAGACATTTTTGTGTTTAAGGCTGCCTGAAAAGTCCAAGTTGTAAATGTGGGACCAGGAATATGCAGGGTTTCACTGTACTGTATTACAAAAACAGTGGACAGCTAAAATGGACACCAAAAAAACGGTCGCTAATTCTAACTGCTCAGTGTAGTTCATTCTAGGAAAAAAATGCAAATAAATCTCTCAGATCGCAAAAGAAATATTACGAAAATTCAAGTAGATACAAAAAAAAAAAAAGATCAAAAGAGATCAACCAAAGCAATAATTTCTCTCTCCCTCTAAAGATATATATTAGAAAAACTTCCAGCATGTTCACAAAAGCGAGGCAAACAGGCAAACGTGCTTTTGGGTTTTTTTTTTTTCCGTGATGGCGGAGTCACATTAAGGAGTGTGAGGTTACTGCAGCTGTCGAGGAGCAGTGTGTTCTTTTCTTTTTTTTTTCCCCCCTCCCAGTATAACAATAATAAACCACAAATAGAAAATAAAAACTGTTGAAATGTTAAGTCACTCTGGGGAAGCAGAGCTACGTCGGGGTGCGTTTGATTAGCAGCACGGCTCGTCCAGGCCGTCCAACATGACGGTTGGAAAGCCAACCTCAGATGAATTTTCGATGGTTCTGATGATATGTTGATAAAATCTCAAGGCGGGACGTGTAAAGGTCGCATCTCAATAAAGTACAACACGGTAGAACGTTTCATACAGACTCAGACCCCGGGCGCCTCAGAACTGTGAGGCACACATGCTAATCACTGCGCCGCCGTTGAGTTCAAGCAGCTGTCGAGGAGCAGTGTGTTCTTTTCTTTTTTTTTTCCCCCCTCCCAGTATAACAATAATAAACCACAAATAGAAAATAAAAACTGTTGAAATGTTAAGTCACTCTGGGGAAGCAGAGCTACGTCGGGGTGCGTTTGATTAGCAGCACGGCTCGTCCAGGCCGTCCAACATGACGGTTGGAAAGCCAACCTCAGATGAATTTTCGATGGTTCTGATGATATGTTTATAAAATCTCAAGGCGGGACGTGTAAAGGTTGCATCTCAATAAAGTACAACACGGTAAAACGTTTCATACAGACTCAAACGCCGGGCGCCTCAGAACTGTGAGGCACACATGCTAATCACTGCGCCGCCGTTGAGTTCAATTAAAAATATTCACATCAGAATAATTAAACGCAAAGAGAAATACTCACATTTCTTGAGATAGTGAATGATATGGGGTTTTCGAAGTTAGATCAAAATTTACCGCCCAAAAACTCCACAATGAACAATGTAAAAAAAAAAAAAAATTTTGATCTATGGACCTATGTTTAGTGAAAAGTAGTGCTTTGGCACCATGTGGTCTCAAGGAACTACGTTGAAGTAAACTGAAATGCTTCAGTCAAACAAATGTAGTGCTCTGGCACCATCTTGTTGCAGAGGAAATACAGTGAAGTGAATCCTGTGCCATCTATAGGTAGTTCGAAAACGTTTTAGAGGAGGTGTCGATGACTTGCAGAGGCAAGGCTCAGGCCTATCCCACGCAGGTTAGGCATGTCAATCATAATCAAAATAATTTTCTCGATAATTAAGTTTCACCTAAACTACGGAAATGACATTGTACAGCATGTTCTAGTTTACCGAGATGCACCTGTACTGCCTACCCCGTTTCAAAATTGCCGCCAATCAAGTGAGGGCGCGTGCCAGTTTAACCCTTGGAACTACCCCCCCCCCACCATTCACCCCCCAAAAAGGCCAGTCTTTGTTGAAATAAGTTAAAAAAAACAAAAACATATCTACTGTATATTAATGTATATTGTTTATCCGCAACTAAATCCTTTGTGTCCTTTATGTACAATAAAGTGATGAACAGTACAAGGCACACATTTAAGGGTATAAATAAAAAAAAAAAAATAAAAAAAAATGAAACAAAAGTAGTATGCGCAGGAGAGTTTTAGATGCTGTCCACGAAGCTTCCGGGAAACAGCCCCGTCCTACCGTTGCGCTGAAGCGTACCTTTGAACCAGCCGTCCTCGCGCTTCCGGTGCACAAACACCACGTCGCCCTCCTTCAGCTCCAGCTCGGCTTCGCTCTGCGGCGGATACGACACCACCACCCTGTACCTGGAGAGGGAGATGCAGAAACTCAAAATGAAGCGACTCGGACTCAGGCGCAAAACAAATAAATAGAAAGCATGCAAAATAAAGCTTGAAAAAAAAATATGCTGTACCTCTCACAGATGATGGGCCGCGCGTCATGCTGCAGCGATGACAACGAGGAGCACGGCTGGCGAGGGGGCGGCGCGATAGGCGCGCCTCCATCCAAGGCCGCGTTCCTCCGATCTACGGAGGGGTCAGACGAGGAAGCCGAGGATGAGGATGGAGATGGAGATGGAGAGGCGGCGACACCGGGGTCGGGATCCTGGCCAGAGGGAAGGGAGGGCTCGGGAGCCGCGGCGCCTTGAGCTGACTCCCCGGAGGCCGCTTGCTCCGCCTCCAGCGTGGGTGAGGAAGGCGGCGACTGACGAGACTTCTTCTTGTTGGATAGCATCTTCAGAAGACTTTTCTTTTCTCTCTGCGGCAACAACAAAACACTTTCGTCAAACCGAAGGAAAGGCTTTTTGAAAAGGGTTGGCGCCTCTTTTGCTACCTTCATGTCCTTGTCCAAGCGGCACGCGAGGGCCGCGCTGGTGGCGGCGGCACTGAGAGCGGAACCGTTGCCGGCGAGGACGGGCGCGGGCCTCGTGGCGTCACCCTCCAGGGAGGCGGCGCTGACGTTGGGCGGGGTGAGGGAGGCGGCGGCACACCCCAGGGCCGCCGCCGATGCCCGGGCGCAGCCCTGAGCGGGGCCAGTGGAAGGCTGGGGGCACGCGCTGAGGTGCGGGATGTAGGTTCCGGCCGGCGCCGACTGGATGGGCGGGACAGCGGCGGTGGGGCGGTCCTGACCGTGGCAGGCGGCTAAAAACACAAGTCAAAACTTTGATTGGTCTTTACTATTCGAAAGACGGCCAAATACTCCAATCGAGCCCCGTTGGGCGCACCTGTCCTGACGGCGTTGCGGGCCTGGTTCACCGTCATCTGCGAGCCGACGTGTTGCGGCGCTTTGGGCTGCTGGCCAGTGGCCGTCTGCACCGCCGTTACCGCCGCCGCGGGCTGAACGGCAGGGGCGACGGCGTTCACGGCGTGAGGGTGTTTGGCGGCGTCGGGGCCCGGCACGATGGCGACGTGGTGGCCGGACGAGGGGCTGACGATGGTGATCCCTCTGCCCGCCTGCGTGCAAAGGCTCATGGGCACTTTGGCCTGGCTGCTCCCCGACGCCGTCCTAAAAGTGGGGTGGGAAGCGTAGGCTTCGTTAGAAACGTCTCTCACACACACACACACCAATAAGTAAATACAATCTCGGATCGAAAGGAAGGAAAATGGAGAGAATAAAAGGGAATACGGTGTAGTGACGGCCTCCTTAAACATGACAAATTACAGCCTGACCTGAGGAACTTGGACATGTAAAATGGCTTTGGCAAGAATTTCAATTGCTTCCAAATGTGCAATCTGGACGCAAATGAACACCGAAGCTGCGAAAAAAGTAAAACTGTCCAAAACAATCGTTTTTGTGAGATGTCAGCAAAGTTTCTCGTCAGCTGTCTTTTCTTGGTGACGCCACAACAGAAGCGTCGAGGCCATTGCAAATGGGGAAAGTGTGATGATACCCATAGCAGAAGAAAAAGGAACTTCTGGTGACAGAAAAGCTCCGAGCTCCATTTTCATTTCTTCAGAGCCGTATGTATAAATTGCCACAAGATGACGGTTGCTGTCCCCTTCCGGTTTTAATTTCCAAAACAATGGGACACCAATGCTATTGGTTAGCCTATCATGTTTTGTACCGTTTGTTAGCATTATGCTAAACGGACTTTCTGATGGCAAAGCTTGGTGATTGTTTTCGATAAAAACGTGTCATTTTCTTTGTTTTGTTTAATTCAACGCTAAACTTCAACTGGGAGTTGCATTAAACAGCTCCAGGCCGTATTTTGGAAAAATTGTTCGCTAAGTGGTTCTTTTGAATTCAGTCGAGGTCACGGCCACCATGCGCTGGCTACACCTCACATTTTTGCATGCAAATAAAAGCAAGAAAGTCAGCGAAAGATGGCTCAAAAAAAAAAAAAAATTGCTTGGTGCCAACAATCCACAAGATGGCGCCGAAGCAACACTTTTATTGCCTTGGCCTGAGCCGATGGATTACGTCTTTGGCAGTCCCCGAGTGCATTAAAAACCCGTAAACCGCACAAAAACCAAAACCTGTCAACCTCCGACCGACCTGCTGACTGGGCTCATGTAGTTCCCCGGGAAAACGCCGATCTTGCCGGTGTGCATGGAGGTGCCCTTGAACCAGCCGTCCTGACAGCGCTCCAGCACCAGAAACATCTCACCCTTCCTCAGCTCCAGCTCGTCCTCCTTGCGGGGGGCGTAGGGGAACATGGCCACATAGCTACAGCCGCAAAGCAAACACATCAAAGACGCACGTCGGTAGAAGCAAACACGGGAAGTTTGCCTTTTCTCACAGCGCGGACCCTCCGGGACCGATGCCTCCCCCTCAACCCCGGTGACACGGAATTTGTGGGTCACAGCCGGCGAGGAGTCACAGCTGGGATGCTGTCGGCACGAAATCCCAGGGAGACGTGTGACGTGTGTGCAAAAGCGGACGCAGATGGCGGCGGCGGAGCGGGCTCAGGGAGTGGGGCGGTGGGGGGCATCTAATTCTAAACAGGTACGAGTGCGCTGCCTTGGGGGAGGTTTTACAAGTCAAGGCTGATTCACAGACCCGCTCAAGGGCCACATTTGATTTTTAAAATGGTAAGTAATAAGTCAATGTACTTTTTAATCTTATTGATACTGATGTTACAGCTGTATATAATTTGTCCAACCGTTCCCGGGGTGTACCTGGCCTCCAGCGAGGCTCACCTGGGAACCTCATGAGGACAAGCGCTAGGAAAAAAAAAAAGGGATGCTCGGAGGGCTGCTTTCGCAGGCGGCACGGCTGTTTTTTCCAACTCACACTGTGGGTCTTTGTCTGCCGCCCTGGTCGCCGAGGCTGGGGGAGGGTCTTTGGCCCGCCACCAGCGAGTACCCAGCGCCTCCGGCGGACGACTGCGGCGGAGGAGGCGGCCGTGGCGGGAGAGCATCCTGCGGGGATGACGGGAGAGAACGGGAAAGACGATCATCCGTATGATTGCGGGGGGGAGATGCGCCACAGTCCTGTCGGGAGCGGGTACTGCTTGGTTTTAGAAAACACGATGGGATAAAGGCACTTTTCTTATCAAAAAAAAGAGAACGCCAGGACAATTCAATGCACTGAAAGGATGTCAAGTAAATGCTGAGCAGGCTCCATGGCGAGTCATTTGAGCATTTAGTCAGTCAAGAATAAAATGTGAAAAAGGTGGCAAGAGATGAGAGACTGGAAGAGTCACAAAAAGGCATCAACATGGACAGCCTTGTTCATCTGGTTTGAATTTTGCCATTCGGCTCACGACACGGCAAGTTTGTGCACTCACTGAAACATTCCAAAGTTGGACATTTCAACTCAAAAGTGAAAAGGGAAAGTTTTGAGTGTTATTTCAGGTTCCTCCTGAAACATCAGCCCGAGCCAAAACACGGCAAACTTTTTCAAAGCCTTTCCCGAATGCCAGTAACGATGCACGTCCAGCCGACCTCTACTTTGCCTTCCATTTTGTACTTTTGGCTTGTTTGTTTGTTGCTAGGAGACGGCGCAGCTGCGCAAGCGGCAGCGCTGCCGTCCCAGAATTTAACGCGGACCACATGAAATGACAAATCGCAACTCGGACTCTTTTTGGCGCACGTAACGAAGGCAAAATCCCCCTGTTACCCTTTTCAGCGCTATAACTGTATCCACGTGTGTGCCTGTCGAGTTCACGCAGCTCGACGGTGAGATCAGCGGCAACCTGTTCACAAGTCAATGAAATGAGCGGCCGTGTGATAGCGTCCACGTAACGCCCCACCACCCCCACCCCAGACCCCTTTGAAAGTTATGCGCACGAGGGTCCGAGCGTGTGACGGTCGACTGGCGACGCTGGAGCTGAGATAATTAGGCCGCCTGCGGGTTACAGGAATCATCTGTACAAAAACATCACGTAGGGCTCCCAAGTGAAGCGGAGAGCTCCACCTTTTGTGTGCGCATTCCTGCTCATTCACCAACTCGGCATGCCAGCGTGTACACACACACACACGCACACACACACACGCACGCACACACACACACACACACACACACACACACACACACACACACACACACACACACACACACACACACACACAAACCACACACAGGAAGTTTGTGTGTGCTTTTGTGTAGGCTGAGAGCTATTAGAGCTCCTTTTTTTCTCAGTTTGGATGTGTGGAAAGTATATTAGTAGATTTTGCTCCGTTTCGCTTGCATATCTCGTGAGACGGGGCGAGCTTCGAAAGCAGGGATGGGGAAACTAGCAAGGCGCATCTGGAGCGGCCCGTGAGAAATTTTTTAAAAATAAAAATGTTTACTCTAGTGAGGAGTTTTAAGTTGTAATAACAGTGTTCACCGCTAGATGGCAGATAGAAATGCAACCCGGCCTTGTTTTGAGAGATCTCAACATAAGTGAGCACTACAATCTTAAAACAAACTTGGGTGATGGGTTTTGTTTTGTTTTGTTTTGTTTTTTTGTTAAAAGAACTGTTTACATTTCATTTTAGGACAGGTGGAACCTAATTATTATTATCATTATGATTATCATGATTATTAATTAAGTTATTTTTTTTGCTGTGAGAGATGGAAAAAAAAAAGGATTGTGGTACGATGACTTGTGAGTTAAATGTATTCCGTGACTAAGCTCGACTCACCTCAATTTGCTTAAATAAAAAAAAAAAAAAAAAAAATCAAATTTCCCGATTGAAATTCAAACATGGACAAACGTGTCCATCTCAAGAATATACTTCTGTTTGGAGACTTTTCCAAACTCACTAACCACTGTTTATCGATGTTTTTTTTTTGTTTTTTTTTTTTTACAAGCAATGCGCACCGACTCCAGCTACTTTTGGTGGCGTTATTGGCCACTTGTGAGACTCCCTCCACAGGAGTTGTTGTTCAACACTCCATGTCCAGACTGCATATAAATACAGTGAAGCCACCACTTGCCACGTACAATAATTTAACCGCTTATATTATTATACTTACATCTTGTTGTCTTCCAATGTTGTAAAACAGTGAACGTAAAAGACTTACAAAGTCATATAATTTCATGCTTGTTGGTTAGGCCGGCAATCCAGAGACAACTATTTGTAGACAAGCAATTGAAAAGCACTTTTTTTTTTTTAATCATATGTGGCCTTTAAAGAGTGAAACAATCCACGCACAAGTTTGTGGCAACAATGAAACATGCGCCTTCACCTTGCTTTGGCAGAGGTCTGCACCTACCAGTGGAATGGGTGTGTAGCTGGTCTCTGGCGGAAACGTGAAGACCGTCGCCGTGGTGACGGGACTGCTCGGGGGCGGTGTCACGATCAGTCCGGTTGTGCAAATGTGCACCTTTCAAACAGGACAGGACAGGACAATTGAGGCTCGACAAACACGACGGCAAATTCTTCTCGGCTTGCGAAGGTCACATGACCATTTCTGCCAGAACAATTGCAATTGGACATTTTCCTGAAATCGTTCAGCCCTACCGAGAACATTGCGACCATGACATACGAGCACCTGTACTTGAGTTGTACAAGAACAAAACATGTCATAAATGGGACAGATTGTAAATATTGTCCCCCCAGGACATACTTTGCCCTGTCCCGATTCAATAATGTCGAGCGTCATAACAGAAGCCGCAGGTTCACCGAGGCGTCACATTGTGTGATCTTGCTTCTGGCCGAGGCGGCGACCGCAACTCTTCCGATTGGCCGATCGCAATCAGGTGACACGCGCGACACCTGATTGGCCCGACTCTCGGGTGAGAGCGCGGCGGTGTCGTGGTAACGAGCCCCCAGTGGCGCTGGCACATTATCTCCCTGGGGCCTGTGCGCTCGCTCGTTCGCTCGCTCTCCCTACGCATGACTGCACCAGGCCGGGACGCCTCTTAAGGTGAACCTCCAACTGCATCTGCAGTCCCTAAAATGTCTCTTCAAGTCATTTTCCTGCCAGACTTGACGCGATTGTGCTTTATGGCGTCAACCGCGGCACTTTGACGGCAGGCGTGACGCTGGCTTTTAAAATACTCCTCCTCTGGGCGACAGGAGCCGACCTTTGTTGTCTTTTGTCTGCCTGCTGGAAAGATCAGTAAGGTGGAGGTGGGAGGAGGAGGAGGGGTGTGTGTGTGTGTGTGTGTGTGTGTGTGTGGTAGTCAGCATCCCCATTGTGTGAGGCATAAACACCTATTTCCCAAAGGCCAATTCCACCTTAAAAATAGGTTTTCATATGCATTTTGCATGTTCGTTCACATGCAAACAACAGATTTCAGGTACTGACAACCAAATGTTCACCATTTTATCCTGACGAGAGCAGATTTGATTGTTTTTACTTTTGTTACAGGGGACTTCTTATTGGAAATGTAGTTTTTAGTTGCTCGCAAGTCACATGACTTGATTCGAGTGATGATATTGTAGTCGGCAATTTTAAGACTTAGACTGCTAAAGACATCGAAGCGACATTCATGTCCTACCTGAGCTAACTGTTATGCTTTTAGGACAGTCGAGATCTAGCTAGTCTCTTTTTGTGAGAGGGTCATGTTTGAGTTTTTCCTCAATGTAAGTCACAGAGCGATTAGTGCATTCCTCCGCTTCTCGCTATTATTTCAGTGCTCTTTAAGCACCTTTAACTGACGCTGGCCGCCCATTTGGGTCTATTCGCAGCGCAGGCGGCCTCAGACAAATTGGCACGTCTGCGAGCGTGTCTAACCACGTCCAAAACCTCCAGCAGCTGCCGACCATAAAGCAGCTGCTGTCATGTCTGGCTCGCTGCGTGGGGACCCGGAGGGCCCGAAGACGTTTTTCACAGGCGAGTGGAGTCATGCAGCCACGCATTGCTTGAATCCTCGGCCGGAGCATTTTTGGCATGATGTCACAAGACTGTCCTGTGTTTTTGCCTGGATTCGTCATACTGAAGCAAATTTCATCATAATATTCTGGTTGGATGCAACAAGGGGCTGATTCATTTAAAAACAAACACCTGTTCTCATTTCTTGATGCTTTTTTTTTTTTTTTTGGTTGACTATTTTGCCGCCATCTTGTGGCATCTTGACATCAAGGAACTAATGCGCTCAGAGGGTTCATTTAAACAAAAGTAGTGCTTTGATGCTTCCATGACAAGAAGGAAGGATACTATAAAAAAAATGTTCATCGTGGTGTGAGTGCAAGGCGGACATCTGTAGTTTCCTCTCGGCATGTTACCTGTGAAGGCGCGCTGCACGAAAGCCCCCCGCTGATCTCGCCGATGCGGGCGGCGGCGGTGGGGTTGCTGGAGCTGATGAGCACCGGGCCGCTGATCTCCATGGAGTGGCGTTGCGGGGGCGGAGCCAGCATGGGCTTGTGGGACATGGTCAGGGAGGTGAAGGAATGTCGCTTCTTGGTGTTCTTCTTGTCCCGATGGCCGCCGTTGCTCTGGGGCCCCGAGGAGGCCCCCTCGCCCGGCTCGCCGTTGGGGTCGGAGGGCTTGTCCGACTCGATGAGCTGCCGGGCCGCCGAGTTGAACTACCAGGGAGGAGAAAATGGAAAGGGAAGGTGAGGTGGGCTTAAGCGTGGTGCACAGATTTATCGCCAATTCGGCTGGATTTGAGCCTTTTACCCTCCCCTTCTGATCAAAGTCAGCTATGGCCTGATTATCCACAGACTTGGTGACTGGGATGTAAAACGGAGTGATACCCAATCGGGAAGCTTGCTGCTGAAGCTGGCACGGTTGCCAGCCGCAAAAAAAAAAAAAAAAAAGAACCTTATTTGTTGAGTGTTGGTACTGTGTAACGTAGCTTTACACAATAGAAAATGACAAGGAGAAGAATTGCTAAACGCACTGTTGTGACCAGAAAAGCTAACAGCTTAGCTTTCAGCAGATTATTTCGTATGAATAAAAACGTTTTTTAAATTACCATCCCTTGCACGCGAGACGATACCACACGCGATAAGAGCAGCCAGAACACACATGGTGGTTATTATAATTTTTTCTTTTGGAAAAAAATCGGTGAATCTAGTTTCCGCCGGCTTTACCAAGACCCAGAATGTTAAATCAGTAAATTGTTGAAGCAGTTTGGTGTGGAAGATCCTCATCAACAGGCATTCCCGGTCCCCAAAGAGGGATTTTAACGAGCCGGCTATGAAACTGTCGACTCTGTGACCCGTTTCATGTGCTCTGATGTGCGCGACTCAAAGCAGAAGCACTCTAATCACAGTCTCTTCCCAGCGTCGTTGCACCCGAGCAGGTTCATCGACGCTACATAAAAGTTAGGAATTTGACTCCAACGCAGTGCCGCTTCGTTGTCGACACGTCTGCCCAGTAAATCAAGACAGGCAGAAGTGATTGGAAAAAAAAAATCAAGTCAGGCAGAGGACTGTAAAGTCATATCAGGTTCGGATGAGCTTGACCAGTCACCCTAAGACGTTAACTTACTTTTTCTTTCCTTGTGTACAAATACCGTCGTCGGTTGTACACAAGGAACCAAACCAAATAAATGCTTTTTGAACGCCTCATGAACTTGTCAGGTCCGCTTCACCACCCCTCACCCTTTGATTCTGTGTCACGCCATGAATAGAGAACAGCCACACGGTAAAACAGGCAGTGTGAAAACGGGCCTAATAAACCCAATAAAAGCAACACAAGCCCCAAAGAAAACAGCAAAATAAAGACTTTTTTTTTAATAGCTCCGCGCAGCGCTATTTCTGAGCTCGCCACCTCAAACCGTCAAATAAAGTCTAAAAATACGCCTTTGAACAGGAAGCCACCTCGGCGGCGGGTGACCTGGATCGCAGCGCTTTCTGTGAATGCTAATTTCTGCCGCGGCCCGTTTTTCTTACCTCCACGTATGAGATGGGGAAAATTCCAATTTTGTCTCCCAGCATTCCCTCCGCCCAGTTCTCGTCCACCCGGCGGATGACAGTGAGAATGTCATCCTGGAAAAAGAAAAGGATTTTTGTTCTGTGAAAACCTGAATCTCACCAGTCTGTTATCTTTCATTAGTCGCATTTCTCTTGGTTGCACTGCTTTGCTGATTATGTGTTGCCAGGTCAATCTAATCTGCGCAGAGCCTTCAGAATCAATAGTGCTGGCCCAGGTCACTTGGAGCAATGAGACGTTCCCTTTAACTAATCAGATTTCAAATTTTCATCCTCACAGGACGAGCGAACTGGGCCTCGATGATGGCATCAATTTTACATCCTCTAATTTTTTGGTTGGAGCAAAACTAGTTCAAAAGCCAACTCCGACAGGGAAAACATGTCTGCCGTGATCTGTAGAAAATTATATTGGTCAGTGTTAGGATTGCTCTCTCTTTTTTGGGGGGTTTTCTTAATGTTATGAGATAAATTTTGATTTCGAACTGCTCCAGTCGCATGCTGTGTGAGATTGTGTTTTTGTACGGTCCTGATGGTTTCACTCCAAGATGGAGTCAAGATGTCGCACGATGCAGAGCTGAAACGCTGTCTCCACATAATGAGCCTGGTCTCGCTATATATACAGGATTTTCGTCATGCCGAGCCTAATTACAGCCGTTCATCAGGAAGCCAGACAGAATGTAATTATCATGCATTTCTTTAGGGCGCCGTAAACGACATAAACGCGCGCGCTTGAACGGCTACCTTGGCGAACGGCAGGCAGTCCTTGTCGGCCTCCTTGTCCTTGAGCTCAAAGTCGTAGAGCGCCTTGCACTGGGGCGGCGGCTGCGGCAGCGGCTTGATGACTTGCACAAAGTTGGTGGGGAAGAAGCCGTGCAGGCCGCCCAGCTCGCCGTGGTACCAGTTCTCGTCCACCTGACGGCGCAGGATGATGACGTCGCCCTTGCTGAACTTGAGATCGCCCGGCTCCTTGCCATCGTAGTTGTAGAGTGCTTTGGCGCACGGCAGCTGGGGCATGCCCTGCAATATTAAAGTGGCACGACGATAAATAGATCGCCGCACAAACGCCCGCGCTCGGCTGTTTAGTTTATCTCGCAACGGCACGGCAATCGCAGAGTCTCCTTGCGATTTTATTTTGTGGTGAATGACTCGTGAGAACGTTACACAAACACTCAAACGCAACCATCGCGCCTCCATTTGTGTCCGGCAACAGTGCAAGCTTCAGTGAGCTTCCTAAATGGCCATTGTTCCATTCACGGAGTCGGTGGCTTGGCCCCACTCAGCGTTGACCACACACAGAAGGGTTTGCGCCATTGCAAATCAGGGAGGAAAGAACCATTCTAAACATACCCCGCGACGCAGGATAATGGGTAAGCTTTCGGTGACATCAGACAGACTTTGAGAGCAGGGGAGACCAACTATTGACTTCTGGCGCAGTGATACCAGTTGGTGCTGATGCAAGATGAGAATCAGCTGCCTTACGAGGTAGTTCGCATCAGAGGCAGAATGTCAAAACAAAACACTCGAGACTCACTAGCCCTGCTCTTTTGTATTGAAAGCAATGTCCCGCTTTGCTAAGTTCTGCCTCAAAAGTGGACAGCCAAACAAACCCCGGCTCGACTTTCACCCCTCTGATGCGGTAATGAAGCCAGAAGCCAGTTTGAAAGCAGTTATTGGCGCCATAGTGTTGTGACTTAAAGCCCTCTTTACACCGCCTGTAAAAGTCGGCATTTATCCGCCTTTTTTCCGGATCGCTGTTCCTTAAAAACAGCACTGACGTGAAAGGGGGATACTAAGTTGTGCCGGCAGTATTACGCAATTGGCGGTGTCGTATCAGAGCCAAGCGTGCAATGCACACAAGGGTACGAAGTTAATTCGCACTTCTTATTACACTAATTCCTCCTCAGTGATTGTACTAAAAGCGGTTGTGTTGCAACAAAATGGGATGTGTTATTTTGGGGTATCGTGCAGCACCCGTAATACAAAGATTTGTTGAAATTAGTTTTGTCTTTTTTTTTTTTTATATGTGTATGCCACAAGATGGCAGCAGAGCATTGCTTTTGTATAAACGAAACACCTCAACTTGCTCCTACATAGTTCCTTGTTCGCAAGATGGCACAAAATGGGACCAAAGAAATATGTTCATTGCTCTTGACTGAGTCGTAAAACAGCATCGGTATCTTTTTCAATAAATAAAGGAACCCCCCCCCCCCCCCCCAAAAAAAAAAAAAGTGAACCTGCAGATTCCAGACCGCAAATACACAGGGATTTTCTGGGACATGAACACGTGGAGACAAGGTTAAAAAGTTAAGCAAAGCAAATACAGGATGTATCAGGCAAAGATGAAAATACTAAAATTGAATATTTTCCTTTCTCTGAACTTGGCTTTGTATGTGGAAAATGAAAAGAAAAAAAATCATTGCTGAAACACATTTCTGGAAGGTACCACACAGATTTTCAGACTATAGTGAAGGCCCAATGCAACATATTGAAGGATTTTATTTATCTATTCAAAAAGTTAAAAAAAAAAAAAAAAAAAAGAACCTAGATCAAGAACTGACGTCCCAAAGTCTGAAAGATTTGTGTCCCTGACTAAGACTTTGAGAAGTCCAGTCCGTTCATCCCGCCACCCCCACCTCAACCGCCTCCGAAGGAGGTTTTGTATCTTGGCCCCAAAACCCTGAAAGGGCCAATCAGGGGATGACAATCCAAGGAAAGAGGGCCAAACCAGTAGGGGGGGTTCCCCATTCAGCGTTGGAGTTGACTATAAGGGAAGCTTCTGCAAAACAGCCACCATTTATCCTGCTGATTGCTGGACATCTTCGCCAGTGATGTGAATCCCAAACACTTTGGAAGTGAAGCGTCATGGACGTGGGGAACTAGGGAGCGAAGGGGTTAAAACGGAATTTGGGAGGCTCGATGGTCTCGCTGGGGGCTAAGGAGGCGTTGGGGAGAATGAAAGTACAGAACGAGCGGTGATGGTGAGCCGGTCTGACGTTACCCCGCTGCACACAATCACACACACCCAAGCACAGAACCAATGAGGCCACGCCGATTGCCTCGCCTCGGCCGGGAGCAGAAACGTTGAGGAGGAGGAGGAGGAGGAGGAGTCTCCCTGCATTTTGTACTGGAACTGGGCC